GGCGAAACGTCTGGAAATGTACCACGTCCACGGTCCTACTCTGGAAATGATGATGCATACAATGGACTCCAGACTAAGTGCGTTCCTCTAAGTCTTCCTACCAATATGACCATGTTGCGAAAACAAGGTCACATAACGTCTATACTACAAAAGAAGACTGCTAGAATTACAAAGTTCCTAATGAATTTTAGGCTACAAAAGTTATGAACGTCCTTTCTTTAAGTCACCTACCCTATTATTTGTGAGCCTAGTATAAAATTAGTTTATATATACTCTACTAGTGGTATTTGTTAGGCTTGAAAATATATCTTGACATCTGAAAAAGGCCGAACTTACTTTTCCTTCCGCTCCCGCCTCCTCACGCCATAAATTCAATTGACGTTCAAACTGAGGAAAGTCAATAGTGGGTGTAAGTCGAATATCAAAAGTAGCAGAAAGTTCAGGAGGTACGATATTCGGCTGTAGGCCGCCGGACAGAATAGTGAGGTTGACAGAGGTGACATCACCCAAACTCAGTTTCCCCTTTGACTCCTCTAGGCGAAGTAGCTCAGTCCTTCGGAACTCCAACATTCTTTAAACAAAATATTCAAACCAAGATTTTTTTTAAAGTTTAGCAAAAACATCTTAATATTATGAAATCACTATGCTGATTTAAGTAACAAATTGCATCGAAAATGTCTAGCATATTAAATAAAAAGAGCTATAACAGACCCAGGCATGCAAAGCTTTAGTAAATAAGAGGCGGATATTAACAGAAATACAGAGGTAGACCAAATAACGGGACAAAGTCAGCGTAAAACTATGCGGTTTCAAGCTATGGTTAAAATTAAGAATGCAGCTGTAAATAGAGTCAAGAAGCACACTCATACAAGGGCAAGTATAGTTGAATCCAAGGGAATAAATGAGTGAACGGTGCAATAAGCAAATGCAATATGATTTATAGAATTGACTTCAGAATTGCATAAAACTTAGTCTCATTAAAATTACGCAATATTATGAAGTTATACAGAGCTGATGTGCATAGATTAATAAACAACATAGTATAAAAGTGTCCTAGTTTAAGGAGAATAATGAAAGCAAACAGAAAAATATTCCGAAATTTCCTAAACTCTCTACTAATTAGACATATTTTTACTTACAATCTAATTTAGTTTACATATACTAAATGCATTTTACAAATTACATTAAACCAGTCCTTAACTTCCATTAAATCTTTAGTACATTGTTGAAGTATAACTTGGCAATTATCGTAGATATGAAGACCAAGATAGTGTGGTTGTCTGGCCGCAGTATCGCCTGACAAAAGAAGAGTCAGCATTTAACAGCAATCTCAAGTTCTTAGCCAAGTTTTTAAAGAAATATCGCTTTGCACATCGTTAAATTACCAATAAATAAGGAATATGATACATTTAAAGCTTCTTACACTAATGCCAATCAAGAGTACAGGACTAAAGAACCAGTTCTTTATCGCAGTTTCAGAGTTTATTTAAATGTAGATTTCTCTATATAATAGCAATGCCCAGTGGGAATGAGTTCTTACAATTCATGTTCAAATTATGTAACCATGCAAATTTTGATGAAGAAAAATCTTTAGCCCTAGCAAAATATTATGATAAATGAAAGCTGCATTTCACTTATAAATACATGGAGATAAATTTAAATCTATTTATATGTATCAGACTAGCTTGGGTCAGACTGGCGCTATTATGAGAAATTTGGTAAGCACCTTTGTGCATTACTCTGAACATAAACCGAAGTAAAATAATATAGATATCCAAGGAATCAGATAGAACATGCACAC